AGGGGACGGCCAAGATTAACCTGGTGCAAACATATGGAAGGAGTCTGTTCCGGACTGCATTAGTCTTTTGCCGAAGCTCAGACACTGGCACAGGATCGGGAACGTTGGAAGCACTGTCTGACGCGTCTGCCTCCGCGACCTGAAAGGAGAAGCTGCCATGGAAGGTGAAGATGGAGATGCTGAGGCATAGTTAGCCACCAAGAGGTCACTGCCTCATTTGCATTGCCGCTAATGACGTCCTGTTACTCAATAGTCCTTTCATACTGTTACTTTTAGGCCAGTGTTAGTGTTTCATATAGCATTCGAAACTACGACTGGATCAGCAAAGGGGAATAACATCCCTCTTGAGTGTATAATTCATGTAGGCATAAGCAAAGACTTTTGATACAAAACAGATTGTGAAGCATGTACCAAACATTTGAACAATTTAAATGCTAAGTGCTAAAACAATCACGATCGAAGTTCATTAGCCTGCCGGCAATACCCGCATCTCACCAAGCATAAGATTCCTAATAGCCCAGTCTCCCAAAGCTGAGACTCTGGCACAGAATCGGGAAAGGTGGAAAGCTTTGTCTGACGCCTCTACCTCCGCGACTCGAAAGGAGAAGCGGCCGTAGAAGACGAAGATGATGAAAATCGACGCTGAACCTTTCTCGTCAGCGTTACTATAGTTATTTACAAAATAACGCCGCGTAACAGCATCGGTATCTATAGTACGTCTGACAAAATAAAATGAAGTTCAGTCTTGCTGAACTTCAAGGTTGTTCTGTTCTGCGGTACGGATCATCAAATCAGTCGTTATGAGTCACGTTTAATTTGAAAAATGGCCAGTTTCCGCATGAACGTATCGTCCAAAAATCAGTTTCAAGCATGACTCAAAAATCGGTCTCACTTAATTAGTCTAAATTTCCCTTATGGTCTAGAAAAAGATAGACATTGAGTTGCTATAGGATAAAATCGTCAATTATATGCAACAAAGAACAAATGTAGCCGAAATGTGTTTGGCTAGCCAATACTAGTGCGAATAATAGATACAGTCGGTAGATACATTATTGCAAATAATGATACTGGATTTTAACGGCGGAAACGTACAGTATAAGGAAATAAAAATTTAAAATCTCCTCAGGTTTTTGACTCCGGGCCCGCAGTTATATAGATAGGTGGTTGAGAGATTCCTGGCTCAGGGGACAAAACGCAAGAGACCGTAAACAGTTTGTTTTCAACATGTCTTATTACATAGACCATAGCATCGTCAGAGCTGGACTAAACGCAAGTGAATGCTTCTATCATACTGCGGTCCTGCACTACTCCAGTGTCAGTATAATGTAAAAAACAACTTTTCTTTTGTAGTCTACCCAGAAAATCAGGGTTATGCTTTTGTTTCCGCCAAAGGATAGTGGCGTATGGATTTAAGCATTTCTTTTTCAAGACTGTAAAGAGACGCGATTTTGCCTCTTATGTACTGCAGGCGCTTAAATCCTATGGAGTCTTGACCTACATAAATGGTCCCAATTTGCGTCTAGAAGCAAGGAAGAGGTGTAACAAAGCTGCTAGTATAAAATAAGAAATGGATTTTTCTTTCTTTACACTGTGTATTCGCTGTTTCAATATGGGACAAATATTTTGACTATGATACATTCATCGGCGGTATCAATAGCTTCCACAGAATATCGCAGTTCCATTTTATCACAAAATTTTTCTTTATTTAAAGCATATCGATGCCTAAATGAAACAGCGACAATGTACAATGCAAAGGAAGAAAAATTCATTTCTTTCTTTAAACCGATAATGCGGTGGTATAAGACAGGCGAAATTCTTACACTAAAAGGTAGCGCATATTGCACCGTAGCGTAAATACGAGGGTGACGTATTGGTTGAACGCGACCTAAATATTGTTCACGTTCATTTTCGGTCCAACTTTGATGCTGGCTTCGTTCAGCTACAGGAATCTTTGATGGAGCATGTCGAAAACCTTTTCTAGGGCCATTGTGAATAGCATAGATGATACTGCATAGCCCTGCGATGCTTTTTCAATTTAAAATAAAATGCGCTTCAGTGAAGCTTCACACAAAAGATGCATTCTTGGAAATGATAGTGACAAGAACTAATTATCCTTTCTCGATTCCCAGCTCTAACACTAGCTTTTAATGGAATGCAGTAAAGAATAAATGTAGATCGAGACGAATGCCCTCTCGAAATCAACGAACCACAGGTACCGATTTCCTAACATTTGTTTCTTACCTTCAATACTTGCTTTGCCACATGGAAATGATAAAGTCCAAGAAATATAATAAGTGAAGCATAAGTATCGGTCATTGTTTGCAGGTCGGAGTATGATAAACGGAGCATAACCGGTGCATAACGGAGAATAACTTCTCCAAATACCAGATTTCTCAGCGATGAGATATTTCTGCGACGCAATATATGATCGATATGTACAGCCCAGTAGCAAATGAACAATAGCAGTAGAAATTATAAACATTTCTTCAAAGGGTACACGGCACAATCATGTAATTTGTGCGTGATCAAGTAATCAGGTAATTTTGAAACGAGGCTCAATACAACAATGTAAGTATATTTTTGGCTTCCTTGCTTTTAAAGTCACGTACCAATCTCCGGTTTATCGCTAGAAGGCTTAAAGGTATTTGATATATCATTAAAAAGATACCCAAGACGACGAAGTTGCATGTCGAATATTGCAAGACGAAGGTTTCAAATAAAATCGTTTTTGACCCATTACAGTCTGCCATTCCGGAACACTACTGGAAGTCAGTACTCAAGATAGGAAACCTTGCCATTAAATTTTGAAAACGGAAATATAATGCCATGCACACAGCTGCTTTCCATCTGAAATGAGAAGGATAGTGTTTAAGTCACACTGCGATCAGCTATGGCTACGTAGTAACATTGATACTACAACATAGCCATTTGTTTCCCTTTTTTCATCCTTACCGTTGTAATAGACTGCTGCGATCTTTTGCTTTTCACGCGTTTAAGATATTAAATTTTGATGCGAAATATTGAAATACAAGAGAAAAAAGGGTCAGAGGTAGTCATTAAAAAAGTTCATGTCGAAACTGGCATAATATAAGTTAATAAATGTTGCCGTATTCTTATTTTCAATGAAGCTGTTTATTATTGTTCATTGCAAACAGTTGCAACCGGTTAGATAACACATTGCAGGCGTTTGTAAACGAAATTAGTATAGCCGCGACTTCCAGACGGGAAGTTTACTTGTTAATCGTGACCTCGTACTGTATTTGTTACAGTGTGGCAGTTACGAAATATGTCAGGATTGCACGGCAGAGTCAAGGAGACGGTGAATGTGGAAACAGCCGAGGTCGAAAGAAAGCAGAAAGAAGAAAAATTACGCAGGTATCTTCAAGCAAGAAATGTGTTGTTCGAAAAAATCAGAAATAACGTTTTCGATGAGGACGGTTTTAAGCTGTCGTCAGAGATCCTGTCCCGGAATCCCGACTTTTATACTTTATGGAACTA